CGCACGCCTGGTGGGGCCAGCCGCGCGGCACGAAGATGACGTCGCCTGCGGGAGGCCCGCGCTGCGCCGCTCGCCGCGTGGCGCAGAGGATGGCCCTCGCGGCCGGGGCACTCAGGCGCGAGATCCCTTGGATACGCGGTCACGTGGACAAGGTCCGCGCGGGGCACTCGGGAAACAAGTCCCCTCGTCCGCGGGGTCGCGGCCCAGGGGCCCAGCCCGCGAGGCCGTTGATGCAGACACTTTCCCCAACTGTCCCCACCACTGCCCCACTGTCCCCACTGTCCCCGCCGCTGCCCCCCTGTGCTGTCCCACCGTCCCCGCTGTCCCCGCCACTGTCCCACTGTCCCCACCACTCTCCCCACTGTACCACTGTCCCGCGACCGTCCTCACCACCGCCCCCACCACTGTCCCACTGTCCCCACCACTGTCCCACTGTCCCCACCACCACCGTCCCCACCACCACCGTCCCCACCACCGTCCCAGTGTCCCCACCACTGTCCCACTGTCCCGAAGAGCGGGAATCGTTTGCCGGCGGCGAGGGCGGGGGGGTTCGAACCGGTAGTAGTGACCCCCCCCCCTTTCATGATGTACGGGGGGGGGGGGTTCGAATCGGTAGTGCCCCCCCGTGGTTTTCGAAGGGGGGGGGACGGGTTGGGAACCCCCAGTGACCCCCCCTGGTTTTCCGCCACGCTCTTTAAACATCTCTGCGGGGACCTCGGCCGGTACGGGCCCCCAGCCTCAAGGAGTGAACCGATTCGCAGATTGCGCAAACGGCCGCCGGATGGGACGAAACATGATTTCCACAGACCGCACACGACCCAATGTGCACTAAGGTGAGAAGAGGCCAGAGATGGGGAGACGCTCGAAAAGGCAAAAGACCGGGCCAAATTTCGAGTTGGGGTGTTGACCTCTGACAAAGCTGCCCCAAGAATGCTTTGCGCCATTGGACGGTAAACCGCGTCCTGGCGGGCATTCCTTACCCAAAGGACGCAAAGCGTCAGTTTCAGCAGAGTAGGCGCCAGGCGCCACACTTGCCGCATATAATAAGAACACCGTGGGGGTAGTTTGCTACGTGCAATCTGTGCTCCCTTAGGTTGGCGACCAGAGAAGAGAGGGCTGCACTGTACCCGCGGCGAGGCGACACGTTGGGCGCGGGCTTACGGTCGCTCGTGACAAAGCGCAAGCAGCGCTTGCACGCACAGCGGGTGCGACGCCAAGGCCACACATGCTGTAATGGGGTCACTGGAGCAGCTGCCGAGGATGCCGCTTCGGGCGGGGCAGGGGGCGGTGGGAGTGAGGGCGGGGTCGGGGGCGGTGGGAACGGGGGCGCCTGGCAGGCAGCCCCAATGCCCGTTTCAAATCCTGGTGCGCTCAGCCGCACGCTAAAAAGTGGCACGCATGGCTTTGGACGGTGCTTCCACCATGAACCCCTGGCTTGAGTCTTAACGCTAGAACGGTAGGGACACACGCCCCCCCTCCCCTCCCCCCGCACGCAGCACCCACCCTAGAGGAGGAGGAGGAGGAGGAGGAGGAGGAGGAGGAGGAGGAGGAGGAGGAGGAGGAGGAGGAGGAGGAAGGGAGAGGCAGGGTCGCCGTCTGTCTGATTTCTTCTTTAATCTCGGCCTCGGCGCTGGAATGGTCGGACCAGTACAGGTAAGACTGCTGGCCACTGAAATGCCTTACTGCCCCAGTGGTTGCAAAATGAAAGAGCAGCTGCGATCCGTGAAACTCCCAGAAGGCTCGAGACGATACTCGCAGAAGCCTAGAAAGCTCTGCAATGGACCTTACCATCTCCCCGAACGCGCCTCAAACACCTCGGGGAAGCATCCACACGCTGTGGAAAACCACCACCCACCCAAGGCGCCCTGCGCCCACGGGCTGGAGATGATCCAAACTCACAACTTGCCTCCAGCCGCATTGTGCTTGAGCATGGGGTGTCAACTCGCTGGCCACATGCTGGGGCCTCTCGAGTTCACCCTGGGGCCCCTCCTCCTCCCTCCTGCTCCGTTGGAGGCCTCTGGAAGCTTCCAAAGCCCCCCAGGGGTCTTCGCGCACCCACCCCCCTTCCCCTGGAGGTGCTCGGAGGGTACCCAGAAGCCTCCTGGAGCCCACAGCGGGGCAGAAACTCTCGAGAAAGAGCCTGTTTTTGCATTGTCCGCTGTAACGAGCGTGATCGGGGGAGGGGGGGCGGGGTTGACCCCCCCCCGGTCACATCACGGCGGGTTTCGGCCTCCAGGGGCCTTGTTCGAGCCGCCCGGCCCTCGGGAGGAATATAGACATATATACATATGTATATGAAGGAAGAGGGATCAGAAGAGGAAGAGGGGATTGAGGTGGAAGAAGGAGGCAGAGGAGGAAGAAGGGAGCATCGAGGATCCAGTGCTTTAAGCACGCGATCCTCGATGTTCGATGCTCGAATGCCTCGAGGGAGGCGGGCTGGGAGGACCTGCCTGGCTCGAGGACGTGCTCCAGGACCGAGAGCTGCCCGCCTGGCCGGAATGGAGCAGCGGAGGGGGCCACACGACAGGAGGGGGGGAACGGGGGAGGGCCGAGGAGAAGAAAGGCGGGAATGAGGGACGGGGGTTCTGAGGAGGAGGAGGAGGAGGAGGAGGAGGAGGACAGATGTAAACCCAAAACACACGTCAGCGATGATGCAGCACGCTCTCCTGTCATGTTCCCTCGTCATAGGTCCCTACAAGAGTGTATTTTCATGTCGGAAGTGCCTCATTGGGAAACTACCTTCTGACAATCGCCAATCGTGAGAAAGCAAAACTCCTGGGACACCAACGCCGGGAATCAACCTGACGTCCTGACAAACCTAAGCCGTGCCAGGACACCACCGTTGAGACTGCAGCACAGCGAGTCACCGTGGCTGTTGCGCCCTGGCATCCCTCAGTCGTGCCAGAACATCACCCCCGGCCCTTGAAGTTCAATCGGGCGAACCCTTGAAACTGGTGAAACTTGTGCCCAACCATCCTGTGATGTTGGGTCCTTGTTTTGAATGGACAACGCCCCGCGTCACTCACCTCCCGCTGCCCCCTGTCTGCTCCTCCTGTAACTATCATTGCGGCGCACCCCTCACGAGGAACGTAGCCCAACAAGGAGCTGCACCGAAGACCCCAGTGGCAGCGTCCGCACGGCGGACTCGGGCCAGTTCGGCACACCCCTCACGAGGATCGTGTCCCCATAGGGAGCACGACCGAAGACCCCAATGGCAGGGTCCGCATGGCGGACTCGGGCCATCTTGGCACACCCCTCACAAGGAACGTAGCCCCACAGGGAGCTCCACCGAAGACCCCAGTGGCAGCGTCCGCACGGCGGACTCGGGCCAGTTCGGCACACCCCTCACGAGGATCGTGTCCCCATATGGAGCTCCACCCCCAGTGGCAGGGTCCGCATGGCGGACTCGGACCAGTTCGGCACACCCCTCACGAGGATCGTGTCCCCATAGGGAGCACAACCGAAGACCCCAATGGCAGGGTCCGCATGGCGGACTCGGGCCAGTTCGGCACGCCGCTCACGAGGATCGTGGCACCATCGGGAGCACCACCGAAGACCCCAGTGGCAGGGTCCGCATGGCAGACTCGGGCCAATTCGGCACACCCCTCACGAGGATCGTGGCCCCATATGGAGCTCCACCCAAGCCCCAATTCCAAGGTCCTCGCGGCGGAACCGGGCCATTTCGGCACACCCCTCATGAGGATCGTGGCCCCATAGGGAGCTCCACCGAAGGCCTCAGTGGCAAGGTCCGCATGGCGGACTCGGGCCATCTTGGCACACCGCTCACGAGGATCGTCAGCACATTGGGAACTCCACTGAAAAACCGAATGGTGGTGTTCGAATGCCTTGTGCCGGCTCCCCTCCGTTGTCTCACCTGCCTCGCGATACTCGCAGCTGCATATGGTCGAGCCCTTCGTCAGGCAAATTACCACGAGTGTGCGCGGCAATGCTGCGCGAAACACATTTTGGAAAACGGCCCGCCCTCCACCCCTGGTGCTATTGCACACTATTGAAGCGAATGTGCGCGTCGCAGAGACGAACACCACAATAACATCCGCCGCTCTGCGGTTGATCGGGAGTTTCTGTATATATAGAAGAAGGGGCGCGCGCTTCTGGGCGAGAGGGAAACGACCGAGAGAAGAAGGGGCGGCCGCCCCACAGGACCTCTCCATGGTGCCGGAAGCCCATCAGGGCTCCCTCAGGGCCCCTCCCCCAGGGCCGGGGCTCCCTCGCCTGCCCCCTCCCCCTCCTCCTCCTCCTCCTCCTCCTCCTCCTCCTCCTCCTCCTCCTCCTCCTCCTCCTTCGCCCCCGTCGGCATATCCAGGCGTGTTATGCAGTCAGGTCGTCCGTCCGGAAACGGTGCCGGAGGCCGCTCTGGGCTCCTCTGGGCATCCCCCCCGGGGCCCGTTTTGTGAGGATGTCTCAGGCGAGGGCGCCGGTTTGGGATTCGTCACCGGATCCAGCGGATCCAGCGGATCCGTCCGGAAACGGTGCCGGAGGCCGCTCTGGGCTCCTCTGGGCATCCCCCCCGGGGCCCGTTTTGTGAGGATGTCTCAGGCGAGGGCGCCGGTTTGGGATTCGTCACCGGATCCAGCGGATCCAGCGGATCCGTCCGGAAACGGTGCCGGAGGCCGCTCTGGGCTCCTCTGGGCATCCCCCCCGGGGCCCGTTTTGTGAGGATGTCTCAGGCGAGGGCGCCGGTTTGGGATTCGTCACCGGATCCAGCGGATCCAGCGGATCCGTCCGGAAACGGTGCCGGAGGCCGCTCTGGGCTCCTCTGGGCATCCCCCCCGGGGCCCGTTTTGTGAGGATGTCTCAGGCGAGGGCGCCGGTTTGGGATTCGTCACCGGATCCAGCGGATCCAGCGGATCCGTCCGGAAACGGTGCCGGAGGCCGCTCTGGGCTCCTCTGGGCATCCCCCCCGGGGCCCGTTTTGTGAGGATGTCTCAGGCGAGGGCGCCGGTTTGGGATTCGTCACCGGATCCAGCGGATCCAGCGGA